GCAAAAGCATCGTGACTTTTACAACAGCAGAGGAATAAAACAGCTGGCTCAACAGAGTGGCTGACATTAATACCCAGGTATCTTCCTATGCAGTCATTAAGATCGTTTGCTGAGGCCTTGCTTCGGGCGCTCTTGCCAAATGAGGTGAGACAGGTGTCTTACACAGGGCCTTTTCAGGTGATGGCACCTTGTCTGTTGACTGTCCTTCCCTGACACCCACCTAGAACTCACAATGCTCTTTTCAGCAACAAGTGAAAGCCTTTTATTCTCTTGTTTTTAATCAGGGTTTATAATGGTGTATTTTTGTTGCTAGTTTTAGTCTGTGATGTTTTTAATATTTATGCTATGCATTTTAATGTATTGTGTATCAACCGGAGAACGTTGGTCACTGGGCAATTTAAAATACCATGCCGCATGACGAGTCCGATCAAACACATTTCGGAGCTCATTATCGAGCCTACTTGGTGGTCATACTTTGCCTCCCTTGTGGCTTCCTTGCAATGCTCTCCAGCTAAGATTTTTCAAGTAGTCTGGGGCCACCTACAATCTGGTTCTCCGGATGAGACCCTGGAGCCCGCAGCAGCTCTGTGCGATGAATTTGCTTCACACTTTGAGGAAAAATTGCCCAGATCTGCCTGGAGTTTGACTGCCATTTGTGCAGTACCATCTTTGGATGTGTCCAGTGCACCGTCTAATGGTCCGTTATTGGATGAGTTTCAGTTACTGAGACCCGAAGATGTGGACAAGGTGTTTGGCTCTGTCCAATTCACCACATGCCTTCTTGACCCTTGCCCATCCTGGTTGATTGGGAGATCTGAAGGGGTTCAGGCCTGGGTCCAGGAGGTTGCCAATGCCTCATTAAGAGAGGGAATGGTCCCTGCCCCATTAAAGGAGGCCGTAGTGAGACCACTCCTAAAAAGGCCAGGCCTGGATCCAGGGGTACTGGACAACTACCAGCCCATTGTTAATCTCCCTTTTTGGGCAAGGTGTTGAAGCAGGTGGTGGCCAGGCAGCTGAGGGCACTCTTGGAGGATACGGATTATCTGGATCCATTTCAATCGGGTTTTAGGCTGGGTACAGGATAGAGACAGCCTTGGTCACCCTGTAAGATGACCTGTGGAGGGAGAGGGACAGGAGGAGTGTGACCCTGTTGGTTCTTCTTGACCTCTCAGAGGCCTTCAACACCATCGACCATGGTGTCCTTCTGGACAGGTTGGCCGGGGTTGGGGTTGGAGGCACTGCTTTGTGGTGGTTCTGCTCCTACCTGGCTGGCCAAGTCCACAAAGTAGTTTTGGGGACTGCTGCTCTGCACCATAGCAGTTGTGTCACGGGGTACCACAAGGTTCAGTGCTATCCTCCATGCTTTTTAACATCTGGCTGAAGCCACTGGGAGAGGTCATCCAGAGGTTTGGGCTGAGGATTCAGCAATATGCTGATGATACTCAGCTCTACCTCTCTTTTACATCTCACCCAGGTGAGGCTGTCGCCATCTTGAACCAGGGCTGGAGCTCGATAATGGACTGCATGAGAGTCAATAAACTGAGGCTCAATCCTAACGAAACAGAGGTACTGCTAGTAGGGGGGCATCTGACAGGCTGGAGGGGCATTGCCCTGTCCTTGATGGGGTGGCACTCCTCCTAAGCGACGGGGTCTGCAGATTGGGGGTGCCCCTGAACCCATGTTTGTCCCTGGAGTATCAGGTGAACGTGGTGTCCAGGGTGCTTTCCTCCAGCTACGGAGGATATACCAGCTTTGTCCCTACCTGGACAGACAGCCTGAAAACAGTCACCCATGCACTGGTAACATCCAAAATAGATGACTGCAATGCACTCTATGTGGGGCTGCCATTGAAGACCATCCAGCAATTACAACTGATACAGAATAGAGCCACTCGGCTGGTGATGGGAGCCCCTCGAGTGGCCCACGGCACCTGTACTGAAAGATCTCCATTGGTTACCAGTTGTGGCCCGGGGACAATTCAAGGTTCTTGCGTTGACATATAAATCCCTAAATGGCTTAGGCCCCGGTTATCTTAAGGAGCACCTACACCCCTATGTGCCCACCTGGCCTCTGAGATCTACGCAGGGGACCCTCCTGTGTGAGCCTTTTCTGCAGCTGCTCCCTGTATCTGGAATGCTCTCTCTGTGGAGGTTCGCCTGACGCCTTCCTTACTTTATTTTCGGTGTCAGGTGAAGACCTTCCTTTAAAAAAAAATATTTTAGCAACTAATGCCATATGACCTTGTTTTGTACTTCTGCTTGTATTTCATCATTTTATTTTTAATGTGTTGTTATTGGTTTTTATCTTGTAATTGTGAGCCGCCCAGAGGTGCTGTGGTACAACTAGACATCATACAAATGTTTTAAAGGAATAACTAAAATGCAGCAAGTAAGAGTGTAAGGTAAAATCAACTATCCCTCCGTTAACATTAACGCAGGGAGCCTCCATCTCCCACTTGCAATATGGAGAGAATACTGATTCCCCTTCTTGGATGACCACCAGGAGTACTGACATACCACAGGTGAAGCACAGCTCCACGTGTCAGCTTAGACCATCGCCTAAGCAAGCAAACAGCAAATTTCCACTTGAAACGTGTTTGCAGCTTTGTAAGGTATTACTTCCCTAGGAATACAAATCAGCAAGTGTGCTGCATGCCATTTGTCCATAGTCACAGGCCATTCAAGTCTTGATCGCAAACAAACTTATCTGGCAACAGATCTTGGAGTTATGCCTGCTTCTGCAAGAGGACTTCCATATAGTTGTGTCCGAGATACAAGGGGTAGACAAGATTATTTTTCATGTTGTGTTTTGATTCATTTTCTCATGCTAAATCTGGGTTGATTCAGATTTAACAGTTGTAAGAAATTTTTTTTTTGATGCAGATATAGATGGGTAAGGTGATTGTTACCTTGGGTCACCTGATGGGCGGCTAGATTGTCATTCCTTTTTTGCTAGTTAAAACTGAATGGTAATATTTGCAATTACGTCTCTCAGTACTTAAGCTCGACTGTGCTGCTTTTTCTATCTTCAACATCTCCTTTGTTGTTAGAAGCATTTATTGGGGCCAGTCAGGAGAATCAACTTATGATCCATGCCTATAAATATGGACCTCAAGCTGGACTGGACCGGAGAACTGGGTTGGCCCGTTATTCCTAATCTACTGCTATCTTAATGTCCATAACAAATGTATCTATAGGTTTCAGATTGCTCTGGATGTAACAAAAATATTAGCTTCATGCCCTCTGGACACCACAGTCTCTCTTTAATTAGGATGCGTCTAAGTCATCCAATTCTTGGTACTGCAAAATAGTCACTGTATCTTCTAAGCAAGTTTTCACAATGCTCAGTAGTTGCCCCTATTTGAGAAGTCACCTCATAAATTTTTGAACTGAAATTCTTAACTCTTTCTCACAAACACTCTGTCTTTCTGTGTGTCTTGCTCGCTCTCTCTCTCTCACACACACACTTAAATTACCTTTCTTCACTGGAGCTGATGCACATTCAGTACAAGTGGATTCACCATGGCCTCCTGATTTTCAACATTTCATGGGTGGTGTATAAGATGCCACTTGGGAATAGATACTGATTTGAATATCTTGGTTTACTTTTGTAGATATTTATGTATCCTTAAACTTGCACTTTATATACATAGTTACATACCTCATATATATATATATATATATATATATATATATATATATATATATGCAAAGAAATTGATACATTTGAATCCATACCCCTATTTTGATGAAAATTTTAATGTAAAAAGATTTCCAAATATAAAATCCCTCTGTCAAAGTATATAGTTTTGTGGTGCTAACTAGTATAAAAGCTATAGAGCTGAAGGATAAGAATATTTTAAAAATCTATTACTGCTCTATTCTATGCAGACCATGTCCAAGTCAGTGGAGTGAAGCATCAACTTTGTGTGCATATACACACCACAAGATCAAACAGATGGAGAGTCTTTCCAAAAACAGGAGACGTTACTGAGGGCATCAGGGCCTGTAATAGGGCATTTTCACGTGCTTAACTTCAGTAAGATGTAGCATTTCTAAGCAAGGCCCAACTAAGACAATCTACCCAATGTATACCAGTAAACGGAGCACACTAAACTTGCCAGAAATGCTGAAGAGGAAGAAAAGCAGCACTGAATATGAAATACATCTCATCTGAGGAGAACAGAGGTGTCAAACTTTGACTACAGTAAAGCAAAAACCAATAACATCCACTAAGCTTTGTTTGTTGATAGGTTTGAACACAACCATGAAAATAACATTGTGTTGAAACTAGTGCACTTATCATTTTAATGTGTGTTTGAAACAAGTTGCCTGTGTGTGGTTCTAATGTCTTATTTTTCTCTCACGGCATCAGTATTTCAACTTTGATATAACTAGGTTTACAGCATTGTCCTACAGGAAACTAGGACCAAAGTTTTAGGAAGATTACAGCAGTGATCAAAATTTAAACCTGTCTCATGAGACTCCATGAGAAGAGAAAGGGGTGGGCACTAAAAGGAAAAAGAACAGTCTGCGTAAAACTCCTGGAGGAGTTGTGGTTTTAGTCACTAGCGCAACTCTTCACACACCTGGAATTGAGAAAGCTACCGAGTGTAAGCAAGGACAACTTTTTACCTGCTCTCACTTTGTGACCAAGTAGTTTCTGTTGCTTCAGATTTTAAATCTGTTGACCATATTTTCCCCATCCAGGCCCTTAACTCATTATCAGACATTGAAACATTAATTATCCAGGAGTACCAGAATCAACCTCTACTTGGCACAGAATGCCTGAACAGGAGAGAATGTGAAAATCAGGATTTTATATGTAAGGTCAATGAACTGTACAAGGAAGAGTTCTCTTTTTTTCCGTCTAAAGCACACTGAACTTACATATTAAAAAGTGTGCAGGTACAAGAGCCTAGTCCTTTCAGATGTTTGCAAAGGGTTAAAGCAGTACTCTAGCAACCCCCCACAACCCCCACCCCCAGCAAGGTGCTAACATCGTTTTACAAGATTTTATTTGTCATGTTGTTAAGTATACATCAATGCAGGTTGCCACTGGTTTTCCACCGCAGTGAAGACTACATCCACCAAACTTCATTATATGGAACCTTTAATTCACAATGGGATCTGTACATTCAACTCACATGTATCTTTAAAGCCTCTGAAACAATGGAACCAGAGTGCTACCAGCACCAGTGACAAAAAATAGCCGGTATATAGAACTGTTAAGCGTTTACCCTTCAAATGTAGCCAGAAAATTTGTGACTATTTCCTTCAGCTTGGCTTCTGTTTGCTCAGAGATCTTCCCATCAGTCCTGCCAAGACAAAACCAAAGTGCATTTCAACCCCCACCCAAGCAAGATGTGGTGTAGCTGTTCCTTCACCTCAACCCTTTTGCTGCCTCTTCTTTCTCCATAGGATGCTTTCTGCCCCTATCCCATATGAAGCCCTATCATCATGGAATACTTCAAACCACAATACAAAAATGTCTTAAAATGCATTCCAGTCTTAAACACAACAATGTGTTCCAGGCACAGGCCAACCTTTTGTCATGGCTCATCAGCAGAGCTTAGCATGGTTTTCTGCAACACTTTAATGACTCAAAATCCTTAGGGCTCTTTAAGGCGACAGCTATTCCAAAGACTGGTTTGTGGGCTGGTGGAAGGCTGCACTTTGTGTGAACTCTCTGTCATCTTCTAGCCTACTATGAAGTGAGACATTTTACCTGATTGTGGAGAGGAGAGCCTGGTGCTGGCTCAGGACATGAGCAAGGAACGCGCTCTCAAATTTGGTGATCTTGCTAGGCTCCAGCTTGTCCAGGTGGCCCCTGACCCCAGCATAGATGACAGCAACTTGTTCCTCAATTGCCATGGGGACTAGAGAGGAAAGGCACACACACATTAAACCACTATTCACTTCCTAGGGTTTCACATGAGGCAGCAAACCTGCACTGAGGGCAGAGGAAACGTAAGCAAAGAGCATTTCCCCTTCCCCTTAATGCAGCGATCAAGCTACTATTCAAAACTAATAGCTCTCTGTTCAGGCTTCCAGCAACTGCAGAGAAGCATCTAGGACTGCAAAGTTTCCCAAGGCAGTCTCAGGAAAACCACATTCCTCCCCTCACTTCTTTGCAACATATTTCATTTCCTGTTGACCAATTAAGCATTTTACAGCTTAGAATGCCTTCCAAGTTACTGGAAAAACTAGAGTTTCTGATGGTTTAAAATGTATTCTTTAGTACTTAATTTGCTAAGATACTAGGCTTTGTTAAGCCAGGAGTGATGCTCTGAGGCAGTGCCGCATTAGACCTAAATGCAAGCATTTAAAAGAGGGGATAACATTCCACAGAGACAATGAGGGCTGAATGTCAGAAGAGTTTTCTGTCTATCGCTTCCTTTACTCACTTATCTTACAATGGGGGCAAGCCACTTTGGGTTTTCTGTGGTTCAATACTTCCCCTGTGCTGATCAACTTACACTCGAATTCACTGGAAGACTACTGGAAAAGCTTAATATGGACAAACCTAGCTTGTTTAAAACATACTGTTCCATATTAAGCCTCTGACTTAGCTAGGCAGTGAATTGTGGCTGCAAACACACGGCCAACTTGCTAGCCACTTTGGTCTTCAAACACCCGCAGGGAACTGCTTCACGTCTATGCTTATTTGTACTTGAAATCCACGAGTCCTACAGGTTCTGTGACTCGTACCGTCCAATTACAGAACATCGTTATGAATGGCCGCCAGTCCGCGCGCTGAGAGGCTCTCACCGTATTGCCCTTGTTTAAGCAGCTCAGTCAAGCGCACACCACGGCTGAGCAGCTGCTGGGTGGCAGCATCCAGATCCGACCCGAACTGGGCAAAGGCAGCTACTTCACGATACTGTGCCAATTCCAACTTCATGGTTCCGGCCACCTACAAAAGGCAGAGCAGAGTTTTACTGGTGGTTCCGAGTTTTATGCACTAAGCTGTTTGTGTCAGGTCTTACCTCTTGCACCATTCGAATCCCTGTTTCATATGACCAGAGTAGCCTCAGCTCTTAACTTTCTAGACGGACTATCGCTTTAGGGACAGGTAACCTTAGACCTGGGGTATTCAGGCTTTGGGAATTCGCTTTTTTAAAGCGGGATCCCTGGAATTCACTAACTGGAGCCAGGCTCAAGGCAACAGCTAACTAGGTTGCTTTGCTCTTAGAATTAAGGAACAGGATACCCCAAAATGCATGCTCAGTTCAGCAGTTCGTTTTCAGTAGCAAAACTGAGCTCATAGTACTTTCACACACAACACCCCCCCCTCAATCTCTTCTCCCATGGCTCCAGTTTTCTCATTCCAGCAGCCCAAGTTTAGGGTAAAATGCCTTTTTGTTGGACTCTATTTAACTAAAGCAACAACACCTTTGCTGATCTACTACAAGGCACCTGAAGATCTGTCCAAACTAGCCTTTAAGAAATCACTTCTCAGAGTTAAGGAGCCAAGACCAAAGTACAAGAGCCTATAAGGTAAGGAAAACCCCACCATCAGAACCAAAAGCGTTCTGGCATATTGTGTATGTATCATAGCTTGCCCTATGCCGAAGTAGTTAGGAACAAGGCCATTTCTACCAGCCCTGCTGAAAACCTGTGGGAATTATGCGACATCTAAGTATCAAGAATAACTAAATAAACCCTCAAGTTGTCACTACCACCAGTCCTTCCAGGAGGCTGTGAGGAGGGAGATGAGGGGGGAGCACGGCCATTCCACCAGTGCCCCTGCCAGTACACCCACCACATCTCTCTATTCCGATTCCTTTGCATTTCATTTTCAAGGTTTGTAAGGAACTGGTGGCGCAGTGGTTTAAACTGCTGGGCTGGCTGATCAAAAGGTCAGCAGTTCGAATCCACAGACGGGGTGAGTGCCCGTGCTTTGTCCCAGCTCCTGCCAACCTTGCAGTTCGAAAGCATATAAATGCAAGTAGATAAATAGGTACCACTTTGGTGGCAAGTAACAGTGTTCCATACACCTCGGTGTTTAGCCACACTGGCCACATGACCACGGAGACTGTCTGCAGACAAGCGCTGGCTCCCTCGGCTAGGAAACGGAGATGAGCACCACCCCCGAGAGTCAAACATGACTGGGCTTCAATGTCATGAGGAAACCTTTACCTTTAAGCTGATGGGGTGGGAGTATCTTTAATTGTTTGTAAGCCACTTGAGGAACTTTCTTTGTTGAGAAATGAACTAACTACTCTAACTAAATTAATTAATAAGGACATAAAGCATAAACAGCAAAACTGCAGCTGGCAAACACACACCCACTTATACTTTTTACAAACCCATTCATGCAAAGAATAAAGCTGCCTGAAACAGAAAAAATATTTATTCCTTCTCCAGGTATAACAATTAGTTTATCACACAGCTTTCCAGCTTAACTTCTCTTATTCAATGTGAAACAGCAAAAAAAGGACACAGACAACAGTGCTGATGCTGAGATCCTATAGCACTGGTGATCCTATATCCTAAACTGAGCGGATAACAGTAAGCTCAGACAGAATGATTACATAACCATAATTTTATACCTACCTGCTTCATGGCTCTTGTCTGAGCAGCAGAACCGACACGAGACACAGACAGACCAACATTGATAGCTGGGCGGATACCTTTGTAGAAAAGTTCAGTTTCCAAGAAGATCTGCAGGGGAAAAACAATTAGCAAGTCGATACATCAGGTTACCTGACACTACTGTCCTGCTGGGCCCAGTAAGGACTCCAGGCCACCCCAAATTACTTCTTACTGAAGATATTCATCTAAGTGCTTTGGGACCTACCTGCCCATCAGTGATAGAGATGACATTAGTTGGAATGTAGGCTGACACATCTCCAGCTTGCGTCTCAATGACAGGAAGGGCAGTCAAAGAGCCTCCCCCAAAGGCATCGTTCATCTTGGCTGCTCTTTCCAGGAGACGGGAGTGCAAGTAGAATACGTCACCAGGGTAGGCCTCTCGGCCAGGGGGACGACGCAGCAGCAGTGACATCTGGCGGTAGGCAACAGCCTGTTGATACAAGAGATCCAGGCTGTTATGTCCGTCTCGGTAATTTAAAGATTATTATTGGGATCTCCTCCCTGCCTCCCTCACATTAAGGTATGCTCAAACCTGCTTGGACAAGTCATCATAGATAATCAAAGCGTGTTTGCCGTTGTCTCTGAAGTATTCACCCATGGAACAGCCAGAATAAGGAGCTAAGTACTGAAGTGGGGCAGCGTCCGAGGCTGTGGCAGAGACCACAATGGTGTACTTCATGGCATCTGAAAAAGAAGTTTAGCAGTATTATTTCCAAGTTCATTCTTATTCAGTAAAAATGCAGAAGTAGCCCAGCCAATAGCTCAGTTATTAGACTTTAAGTTTTGTGGTAACATTTCTTTGCTCATTTCAATAAAGAAATGCATTAAACGTATCACAGAAATCCTTTCAGCTTTTCCCTAGACATTCACAAGGTCATAAAGCCCTAGCATTATAAAGAATGTCAAGCGGTTGTACCAGTTCTTTTGCATCTGTTCATCAATTTAGCTTCTATATCTCTGCAGATACACCATTGATGAGCCATTTATAAAGAGAACACAGTACTAGAATCTGTTTTGTATATATTGTGTACATGGAGTGCATTTGCCTGATCTAGAAAGCAACATGTTAACAGTCCCAGAACTATAAGACATATTTTCTTCTTTGTCCAAACTCCCACACCACAAAAATTGTGCAAGACTGCCATATGAGGCAAATTAAAACAAGCCTGCAGTTTCATGAAAGCAAAGCATGCATGAATGTGGGGTAAAATTAAAATGAAGCACAATGGAAAGTGAGTTAAGGTGCAAGCCCAAGCTTCTGTGATTACAGGAACACTAGCAACCTTTCCTGTTACAGATGTCTCAGCTACAGAACTCTCAAAAGTAGCCATGGAAAGGCAACATGACAGGCAAGCAAAAAAATTATTTCAACTGCCCTAAGAGAACAGTTTGGGACGTTTACTTCTCTCCAAGCTGGCAGTGTATCAGGTATGTTGATTGTTATACTCATTAATTTGAAATAGTTCTCTCTATAATCTTTTAGCCATCATGGACTGTCTCAGAAGCTCAGGAGGGCTCAATGACATGAGCTACTTTATAAATTAAGGCCTTATACGCCCAACCTCAGCAAACACGAACCCAGTGGTTCTGAAAGTAAATGCTCTGAGGAGTACCACTGGCTGCAAGCAAAGATGCGACTCTCTTAAGGGACCCCCCCTTTCCATCCCGGTTTTTATGTTATGCACTTCAACAGATACCACTTCAACGCAGGAAAGACTGTGTGAACACTACCTGCATCAGTAAGCCTTTTGACCAGCTGCGCAACAGTGGATCTCTTCTGACCAATGGCAACATAAATACAATATAGTTTTTTCTTCTCATCAGTTCCATCGTTAAATCGCTTTTGGTTGATGATGGTATCAATAGCAATTGAAGTTTTGCTGCAGAAACAATACAGAGATAGTCAGAAACTTGCTGTGTGATTAAGGCGCCCAGACTGGAATAGTGGCTTTCAAAACGTTTGGCAGAACACGGGTTCTTCGGTGAGAAGATGAGAAATGGTGAGCAGGAGACCCTGACACTGCTTCTCTTCTCTTTATGGTGCACTGGTTAAATGCCATTCACGGTTCTCCAAACCCAGAAGCTGCAACGGCCCTCAGTGGAGGTGGTAAAGTGAGAGGACTGTCGGAAGATGGGGCATTTCACAGCAAAGCACCCTCGCCCACATTTGCAAAGTGTTCTTCTATGTATCGTCTTTCTCAACGTAAAAATCGTAGCAGGTGGGAAAGAACAGTCTGAGCGGCCACAGTAGCCCCTTACCCAGTCTGTCTGTCTCCGATGATCAGCTCACGCTGTCCACGGCCGATTGGTACCAAGCTGTCCACGGCCTTGATGCCCGTCTGCATGGGCTCGCGCACAGAGATTCTAGGAATGATTCCAGGGGCCTTCAGGCCAACCCTCCTGCGCAACTTGGATGTGATGGGACCCTTTAAAGCAAGACAATGTTATCGTATGTTTACCCATGAACAGCCAATATGCAATTGTAATAAGCACGATTTCACACCTACCTTTCCATCGATGGCATTGCCCAGCGCATCTACCACACGACCCAGGAGCTCTTCGCCAACTGGGACATCCACAATGGCACCTGTCCTCTTCACAATGTCTCCTTCCTTAATCAATCTGTCATTTCCAAATACGACAACACCAACATTGTCAGGCTCCAAGTTCAGGGACATGCCCTAAAAGAAAATATGCTTATTTTAGGTATTTAAAAAAGTCAAGAGATGTTCCATTCAGTTGTTGGTAAAGATGATTCAAGCAACCAGCAAAGCTCAAACAATTAATGATAACTATGCTGCAAAGACATAATTCCACAATACATTTTTTCCTGTGTCAAATGAATGATTTTTCTGAAAATATTAGCAATTAGCAATGGTACTGCTGGACTAGATATGTAGTGGTTTAACACAGACAAAAATCTTCAGAACTTTTTTGAACCAAGTTCAATATTGAATTATCTTCCTGACAAAATAATGTTAAACAACTTTTTTAAGAACAATTATGTTACTTGCACACCAGAAAGCAATACCTCGTTACTACCAATGCCCAGGCTGGGTTAGTTATGAACCTCTAGATGTTTTGGTCAACACACATCGGGCCTACCCAATGTTGAGGGATGATACAAACTGCAGGTCAAAACATCTGAAAAGCCACAAGCTGCCCACCCTTGAACTGTGAAGAGGCTTTGAAGCCAAGATTCATGACCTAGTTTTGTATGAACCTTCATTCAAACATGGAGGCAAAGGGCAATGAGCTTGCCTTCAGTCCAGAAGAGAACTCGACCATTTCTTCTGCTTGAACGTTCCGCAAGCCATACACACGGGCAATACCATCACCAATTGACAGCACACGGCCAGTTTCTTCTAGCTCAGCAGAGGTGTCAGCACCCAGAATACGCTCCTCAAGAATAGAGGACACTTCAGCAGTTCCTGGCAAGATTTAAGTGAAGTACAGTTAATTGTATTGTGCCATCTAGAGGCTCTAACTAAAATCTTAGCTTACGTTTTCAAAAGTGGTCATAGTTCTAGGTAAGTAGTCTGACAGACTCGATGCACTATAAAATCTATAGACCTCTGGTCTAAGCAAGTGGCACCCAAGATTACACAAGAGAAAACAGATCTAGCATCTCGCATCTAGTGAAGCATAATAAAGTATTAGGTCCATACTGCACACGTGGAGTTTGCAAATTCTGTTATGCATGTGAGCCACCTTTCTGAGAAGTACTCAAAAAGGCTTACAAGTATAAAGAATGAAACTGAACCTAGGCAAGCCAAATGCAGTGCTTTATAGCTTCATCTCCTGAAGCAGTGTCACTGCTACTCAATCTGAGACTTAAGGTAGCAGCATGTAAATTCTTCAAACTGAGCAAAAAGATTTGAATGTCAAGCAGAGGTTCCCAACAGAGCTACATAAGCAACGCTTAGTCACAACTTATTAGTTACTATGTTATTACCAAAACTGAGACTGCAGGTGCTTGTTTTAACCCACCTGTTTTCTGTAGACTTGTGTTGGAGGCATGGAGGTTCCTTGTTGCAACAAATGAGGCACCCAAACCATTCCGGGACACCTAGCACAGGGGGAAAAAACGATTTCAATTTTATCATTCAATAGCATCTCCCTCTCTGACACTCTTCTGGCATGCCTTGCACTACTACAGTTGTTTATCTTATTACTTGACCAATGAGTCATGCAAATCATTGCTTCTATGCAGAATTGTATAGCACACTATTCACTCATCTAGCCACAAGACTGCTCACTTAATAACCCCAGCACACAATCCTCTGGCCAGTAGTCCTGCTGTCTTAGGTGATCATAACAAAATCTGGAGCTTCAGTTCCAACCTCAGAAAAGCATGCTACAACTGGAGCATTACAATTTAAAGTTCCAAAGTTGGAAGACTGTCCCTCCACCCTCATGGCTTCTGCAGTTTTTTCCATACTGACTATGGTCCCAAAGTTGTGTTACCTTGGAGCAGATCTGGGGGAGAGGGGGCTTGGGTGATGGAGAACAAGTTTCTTCAAGGACGTCAAGAATCCAGGCAGTGCCTCAGTGCTCTCTTTGTAAGCTGGTGTAAAACATTTTGGCAGCCTTGCTCCCTGTTGTTCCCACCTTCCACTGGATGCCTGTAATCCTCTGACAGTGGAAGTTTAACAGCAACCTCAATGGAGGATGCTCTTAAGTCAGCATTTTGTGTTTCAGCCTATCTCTGCAGGATCAGCCATGGTAACAGGGTAGCAGATCATAATTACTTTGTGCAATCCAATCCTGCACATGGATATAAATCCTGTGGTATGTAATGGGGCTCATTTCCCCATAAGTATGCATACAGTTACAGCTTCAAACTCAGTATTGTATTAAAGTGACTTTATCAGTGAAAACTACTTCTTGATTTGTACTGAATATTTAGTGCCCACTGGCTGAAAGATACAATAAAAGATAGCAGCCCTCTTCTTTTAAAAATTTTTGGGGTACCCACTGATTCTGCAGAACTCCACATGAAGGAAGAATTCTATTTATTTCAGAGAATTTCTATCCACTTAGGAAATATTTCTTGCTTTTCAAAGCTTTTAAGATGCACCTGTCTGTTATGACTTCAACAAACTTATTTACAGAAGAATTGCCTACATGGTCATGGCAACAGCTTTTTAAGATGTTGACAAATGTTGTAACTGTCATCTTGGTCAAATCCATCAAGACTAAGCACTCTAATCAAGTTCTTGCATTTGACAGTGACTCTAAAAAAATCTTATTATGCAGGAATTCTGCAAGGATTTCATAAGAGGTGCTTTTTTATGGAATTGTTTTCAATACCATGTACAAGGCAAACTGCACACTGCTTATTGCACAAGGCATTAACAGCTGGTGGAAAACAAAAAAGGCAGCTACTTCAGCTTTGTACGTCATGGCATATGTCTACAAATGTCTAGATACAGCCTTTTAAAGGGATGTCAAAACTGTAGCAGTATAGTAAAAGTTGTGAATTCTAATTAGGAAACTGATGTGCAACTCTACATCAAATACATTATTTTATCTGAGCTGAAGTTTCTTACTAGAATGCATGGAAACCTAAGCTTCTTTTGGACTAAGTACTTTACTACTAAAACCTTTAATTTCCCTCGAGAGGTTTCCAAGAGAGGAAATGAGAAGCCCCTCCACTAATACAATTGCAATCCACTGTATTAAGTTATGAACTTGTTCTTAGTGAGTGAAACTGGGAAATCGAGGCTGGATGACAAGCATTTCCCTTAGTCCAAACTAGAAGCCAAACTATAGGGAATATTTTATTAGAATGGTCCCTTGTAAAAGGGCTTCCCTTCCTAAAAGACTTCAAGGTTAAAAATATCAGGAAATGATATGACTCAACATCCTATCCCAAAGGACAAATCAGGCATGAATGTGACAGCCACTTTCCCATGGGCCCCTGAGATGCCTGTTTTTAAAGTTACATGACAAGCAAACTCTTGACAGATATGGCATCCTTCACAGTGAAAAATGCAATAGAAAAAGATGCCCCTGTTACTTTTTTGCCTACCTCTCAAATGAACCAATGCATTAAAAGAGCACTCTAGTACATCTAGAAAGCTTTTCTACAAGAATAATTTTGGAGAACCCATACTCTCTCTTTCATCCCCCGCATCACTGACAAAGGTGTCTGAGAAAACCTGTTTTTTTTTCCCCGTAGGCCTCCTTGGAGTCAGCCATTCTGGCAGCCTTTCCTGACCTGGTGCCCTCAGGATTTTTGGCGACTCCCAGCAGCCCTGACCACTAGGCATCCTGGCTGGGGCTCATGGGAACTGATGTAAAGCAAGCTTTACAGGTTGGAAAAAGTTAGCCTAAGAGCACATACTCAAACTAACAAAATGGAGTGGGGAGAATCCTCAGCATGAGAGAATGCTTATTTTGCCGAGCACGTTTCAGGAGCCATCTCTTTCTTTCGTCAGGGCCCCCTTATCTTTCTGCAGATACCCTTTCACAGAGATTCGTTCGGACGTCTCTTCTGCACTGAACTCCTTCGAGCCTTCCCAAAACGCGCTGGGCAAAATAAAGATGCTTTCCGGGCACCCGGGATTTTTTTCCTCCTCTTTGGTTTTCTGCAAGACTCATCAGGGCCTTTCCTCTCCCGTTGATTCAGTAATCTGCGGCATGACCTTGTTGGGGCGCGTCCCCCGCCAGGGAGGGAAGCAGGTAGGAGCGCTGGCCAGCCGGCAAGGTCACGGCGGCGGAGAAGCGCGGAGGGGCGGGAGCGAAGGGCGAGCGGCCCCGCAGCACGGGCAGCAGCATCCGCCGGCCGTCCTGTCAATGTCACCCCAGGGCCGGGCCCAAGATGGCGGCGCCGAGGCCAACCATCGCCGGTCCGCCCGCCCGCCCGCCGGCCTGCCCTCCCTCGTCCCCACCGCGCTGCTCACCCAGCCGGCCTGCCGAGGCAGGGAGCGGACGAGAGCGGCGGCTACGCGCACGGACAGCATGGCGGCGGCAGGCTTGAGGGAGCCGAGCGAAAGGAGAGGCCGAGGCCGGCGCGGCTTCTTCGGGCACCTCCTGCAGGAGCCGCGAGCGCCGCCTCCCGCAGACACCGCGCAGAAAATGGCCGCCGCCTCGCCCCGCCCCGCCAGGAGGCAGCCCCGCCCCCTTCCCTTCGGCCCACGGGCGACCCGGAAGGGCTTTCCCGGGACGCCGCTTCCCACTCCCTGGGAGTTTTGCCTCAGCTTTTTTAAAAACCGCGGTCCGCGTTCTTTATATTGCGTGAAGGACACATTTGCCCCGTTAAAAAAAACCAAACACGAATAAGACTTATTAAATTCCCCTCCCCATCCCCCTACTGTCCGTTGCCCTTGAAAATGGCGGAGACAGACAAGCTCAGGGCCACGCCCACCCAAGCCTGGAGGTCGTGACCCGAGTGAGTGGCCACTGGTGGAAAAGAAGGCGGGGGTGGGCGTGTCAAGCTCCGGGACCACGCCCCTTCCAGCTTGAACGGGCGGGTACACGTGGCTGTTGCGCTCAGCGTTTAAGCCAAGGTTTAATGCATGATCCGCTTTCCTTTTGCTTCAGAGTTTTGTGCTAAACGGGTGAGATGTCATTCCTGCAGAAGTTGTTGATCTGCAATTCCCACCGTCTCTCGGCATGTTCGCTGGGACTGATGGGAATTGCAGTCCAACGACTCCTTGCAGGCTGCGTTTTGTATCCTAAAGTCGAAGCGTGCATAGAGCGTACTCTACTCCTGAGTTCTCTTTGAAATCTTGCGCAGTAAAGCCAAGACCTGCCCTTGCCTGAGCTGACTTTGGAGGCTTTGATGCCCGCCCCCCGAGGTCAATGCCTTGGGGTGAACTAGCCCGGTATCATCCATGGAGCTAATGGGGACCCTTCATGGTTGAAAATCTGAGCAGGGGGTTGGACTAAAGCCGAGTAGGTAGACGTGGATCTCGAGACCTTTATAATTTAAGTCCTCAGGACCCCCTGCAGACGTGGCTATTGGTTAGGAATGCAAGGAGTCGAAGTCCAAAAGCCTACTCCCCTCCCCATCCTTTGGTTTAATGACCTCCAAGGTGTCTTCCAGCTTTAATCTTCCATTATTTGCTTGTCACGTTTAGACCCCACTTTTTTTTCCTGCAAGGAACCCAAAGCGATAGAAACGACCACCAATTTGGACAGCTTTCAGAGAGGATTGGACCATTTCATGGAAGACTATAAAGGGCTACTAGTTCCGATGGCCATAGGCCGCCTCCAGTGAGCACCAGTCGCTGAAGAACACGGGTGGGGAACCCTGTAGGCAGCTAGCTGGCTGGCTGGCCTAGGTGGACCCTGCTCCGATCCAGGAGGGCTCTTCTCCCTGGATCTTGTTGGAGAGATTTCCGCAGAGGTTGGGTGGCCGTCTCCCCACGTAATTCCCGATCGACGTTTCCGCTGCCCTCTCTCGCTTCGTGCCAGACGCGCTGCAGCGCTGCCCGAGCCTTGGGTTGAGCTGAGCGTGGGAAGCCTCCTCCCTCCCTGCCGGGGGCAGAGCTTTCCATTCATCGCACGGAGCGGACTACACGCCCCAAGAGCCTTTGCGTCCAGTGACGTCATTGGGCGGGACAGTCAGGGAGGCAAGCGGGAGGTTTGCAAGCGAGGATGGAAGAGAAACTCAGCAAGGTAAGCGACGCGTGGGCAGCTCGTGGGGTCTTTCTCGTGAAGGAACGACTGCGTGGCTAAGCGGGAATGGGAGAAAGGAAGCTTGGCGTTGTCCCAGGTTCACACGTTCGTGCACAGACCCACGGGTGCCTTTCCTTTGTGCAGTCACAGTACCCCTACCGCGAGCTTCCCGCAGAAAGCCCCAGGTTCAGAACTGCCTGGAAGATGCTCCGTGTCCACCACCCTGGGCTGAACGGTCAGACTCAGCTCGGCCTGTGTGTTCGCGAAGGCTTCTCCAGTGGGCTGAAATTAGCCGGCTTTGCAGGTTTCCCTTCCCCACGTTCACGGTGCCGGTAAAGTGGCGCAGCTGCCGGACTGACCCATGTTTACATGGCTTCCTTTCAGAACAATCTGCCTACAATGCCTTAAGCGGAGATCAGAAGTTTAAAATCCTGAAATCGGAGCAGGGCTGTGCGAATCAGAAAGTGGTGTGGTGGATTATGCTGCATTGTGTTGACAAGCTGTAGAATTCTTGTTAAATCCAGAAGCTGAACTGCTGAGGGTGGGGAGGGGGATAGTGCAGCCCTGCCAGGAAGGAATGTACCTTGGTAGCCCCCAGCCTCTTTTCTTCTGTGAAGCACTGCAATTAGAAAGCCAAAATCAACTGTATAGGAGGATTGTGGAGGCAACTTTTGTGTCTGTCCTCCCGCTCTCCCTACTGAGGAACTGCTACAACAACCAGGATGGCTTGGCTTAGCAAACAAGCAAGTAAGGGGTGATAGAGCTGTTTAAAATTGGGCATGGTATGAAGAAAGAGGAGAGAGAGACTTTTTCCCCTCTTCCATAATACTAGAACCTGGGCTCATCCCATGAAGCTGCTTAGTGGGAGATTTAGAGCAGGTAAAAGGAAGGATTTCTTCAGAAAATGCACAGTTAAGCCGTGGAACTCACTGCCACAGGAAGTAGTGTTGGCTTTAATATTGAGATTGGATCAGTTCATAGAGGAGGAGGCTGTCAATGACCACTAGCTGTTGGCTCTGTGCCACCTCCATTATCAGCGGTGAGCTGCCTGTATAGAGCAGTTGCTGAGGAGCCTGAGCAGGTGGAGGTCTTGTACTCCCCTGCTTGAGAGGTCCTGGGGGCAGCTGGTTGGCCTCCATGGGAATGGAGTGATGGACTGGATGGACCATTGGCCTGATCCAGCGGGGCTTTTCTTATGATCTTATCGTGCTCCTAAGCTTGTGCAATTGGAGAATTATGGGCATCCCCATAGGATCGTGCCTTTAAAGAAACAAGAGGATGATTTGTTGCAGAACTGGCCTTAAGCCATGCAGGAGATTCTAGGTTATGCAGCTCTTGCCTTTGAAGCAGGAAGATGTTTTTAGCTTTCTAGAATGCTATGAAATAAAATAGTCCTGGTTCTAATCCTTACTTTATTTATTTATTTGTTTTTCAATTTATATCCTGTCTTTTTCCTGCAAAGGACTCAAGGCAGCTTACATCATTCTCCTCCTCCATCTTCTCCCCACAACAGCAACCCTGTGAGGTAGGTTGGGCTGAGAGTCTGTGACTGGCCCAAAGTCACCCAGCTGGCTCCATGGCTGAGCAGGGACTAGAACCCAGATCGTCTGAGTTCCAGTCCCATGCTCTTAACCACTACAGCACACTGGCTTATTAGATCATAGATCATACAGTTAGAAGGGGCCTAGCAGGGCATCCAGTCCAACCACCTGCTCAAGGAAGGACTCAGTTCACCCATCCAGATTTTCACAAGGGCTGATGCTTAGCTTCCAAGATTAGCAGATTATTTGGAAGCATAGCATAATTTATAAGGTCAACAAGGCTGTTGCAGTGGGCAGAATTAACTCCAGCCAAAAAAACTGTTTATGCATCTCTTTCCGCTAATTCTGGCAGGTTGCTTTGTGGCTGAAAAAGACATATGGGGACCAGCCCATCCCCCCATACGAAGCAGATGCGCAGACGGTTGATATTCTACACGAGCTTGCAGAATGCAATGCATCCAGAGATGCAGACGTCAAGCTTTTGATTGATGACCTGAAGCAGAAAGCAGCAGAATATGAATCAGATGGTGAGCCTGGATTTCAAAGCATTCATTCCAAAAACAAAACAAAGTTAATATTTTAAAGAAAAGTTTCATTTCTCTTCCACTTATTGCTAGAAAACACACTAAATACTAAACATGAAGGGTTCTGTTTGGCCTGTACAAATTAATGCCTCCTTCTGTTGTTTTTGGCATACTTAATTTCAAAAAGGTATGGCTCTTATTTTTGTTTTGGAGGAAACTACCTGCAGGATCTTTTGAGGGAGAATCTGAATCTTTCCTTCAGCAGCCTGTCTAAAATCAGCACCAGCTATCTGAACACCTTGGTGGACATAGCTTTGGCTCTGGAAACAAAGGATACTTCTCTTGCAAGGTAACATCTGCTGGTGGTCTCCTTTGAACGTATTTCAAAGACTCTAGTAGTTCCTGGTTTCCATGAAGAATTGCAGCAATTTTGTGAACTTTAAATGTTTTAATGCCTACATACATAATGAGAGAAAAGTGAGTGGAAATGTTCAAAGAACAGCATGTTCTGTTGCTCCAGAATGGCTTCTTCATGTAAAGCGGCCTTTCCCAACCCAACCTGGCATCCTCCAGTTTGGATTGGAAATCCCCCCAACCTGAGCCGGCATGGTCAATAGCTGGAGATGATGCATGTTGTAACAAAACACCTGGAGGGTTTTCAGTTGGGGAAGGCTGATAAAAGCCATCTAAAGCTGCAATCCTAAAAAGAGTAGGAAGTGAGCCCCATTCAAAGCAGTGGGACTTAGCAGTGAATTGGAAGAGAGTTCGGAAAACATTTCTCCTAAGGTTTAGCTGCAATCTGCTTGCCTGAATTTCCACACATCAGTTCTAGGTCTGCTCCCTGGAACAACAGAGATCAAGCGTGTTCTGTCTTCCGTGGGATCATCCTCCTGACATTTGAAGATGGATATTCTGTTGCTCCTTTGTATTATTTTCTCCAGGCTAAACAGACGCAGCGCTGTCAGTACTCCACAAGGCTTGACTTCCAGTCTGTTCCACCGTCCTCTCAGGGCACTTTAGCTTACCCATCTCCTTAAATTCTAGTACCCATAACTGGGCACAATACTCCCGGGTAAGCAACCCTAGTTTTGTGCTACTTAGATATAACTTGTCCTGTTCCTTTCAGAATACCTTTGCCTGTATTAAGGAAAACAATTTCTTTCTCTCTAAAGAGAAAAGCTCTGGAATATCCATTTATGACCTCACTGAACATGATTGCTCTTGGGAGGAAAGTAGACTTGAAGCATAAAAACATGGTTTGATATAGGACTGGGATGCACCTTTTGGAATAAGCCTGCTAGTTTTTGTTCATCTAAATGCAACCTCTTTCCTAGACGTCAATTGTAAGTAGTCTCTTTCCCACACAAGCTGAGTGTCCAGAAGATGGTTCTTAAGTGTATTAAATGGAGAATATCTCCAAGTATCACTAATAGCCAGCAAATTCATGTGAGTCCATGAATCACTACTATAGCTGATAAAGTCCTTGTGAAACTCTCCTCGTTTTGTAGCTGTTATGTATGTGTCCTCTCCATTACATAAGGAAGATGACTAGGAAGAGCCCGGTACAGATCCTGTCCTGGTAACATTTACATTATTAAACCATAGATGTGTACTGCTTTTCAAAAGAAATTAAGGGTGATCCTTTCGGAGAGATTCCCCAGGTGCACGCTGGCAGGTTTTCCATAGCAGTTCTCAAGTCCAACTTTAAATAAAAATAAAGACTGACCTGATTGGCATAATCACATTGTCTCTAGCTTCATTCCTGCCATCAATGACTTGACTTCGGATCTGTATGCAGTGGAGTCAAAAAACAAAGACATGGAGCTTGAACTGAATGGCCTGAGAAAGAAACTCACGTCGGCGCTGGTGCTGGAAAAACGTCTCCAAGAGTAAGGATCTTTCCACCCAGCCATTCTCCAAAAATCTCAAAGCAGCTTGCATAGGGTTTACGCAGCCAGCCAATCGAAAGAGTTGAGCTCTACCATTTGACCTGCAGCCTGTGCTTTTAGAGTCCATGGCTATGACAAAACTGCAGCTTCACACAGCAACAATAAGGTTTCAGGCTGCATGTGGTGCATACCATTTTTGAATGCACCAACCTACAAACCTCTGTGCTAGTTTTTTGTTTTTGGTTGATTTTTTAAGGCATCGAGTAGGGGAAAAGAAGGTTCCAGCCAAGCCTGGTCCATGTTGTATTAGTTTTCTTTTTCAGGGACTTGTTTATAAATGCCGTCCAGCACTTGTGGTCTGAAGTGGTACAGTCCTTACCACCTCAAAATGGTACCATTACATTTTGCTTCATATGTAGACCAGAGCAGCATCTGGTGCTGTCATTGAGTTTTTGCTGTGCTTGTAATGCGTAATGTGTCTCTAATGATAGGACTTGCCCTTGATCTCTTGAAGTTTTGCTTTGGCAAAGCTTGGGGTGGAGGGAGGAGCTGACTCCAGTGGTGGACAAGGTGAAATCAAAGGGAGTGGGACCAAATATAGCCAAAATTCCACAAGTTGTAGCTTGCAACTCTGATTACCAGTAATTCAAACTTCAGGGAGGGATTTCAGCCTTTTAGAAAGGGGGGTAATGCACAAAAGTTGGGAAACCGCCAAAGGATTAATTGGTGGTTGGGAGAAAATGGGGGTGACCAAGGAAGGGGGTACAGCCACCAGGTAACCCCGGAAAAACCAGAACTTTTTATTACTGAAAAGAGACCTGTTTAATTTTATTTTTAGTGACCTCAGGAAAACAGAAGAACTTATAGTAATGGAAAAAGCGAAGGCTGATAGCCGAACCCAGAACTTGAAGTTCCTAAAAGAGAAATCTGAAGATATGAAATGCAGAGTGAAGGCTGCAGAGGTGAATGCAACAAGTCTTCTATGAGTGTTGGCAGAGAAAATGCAATCTGACTAAAATAGAGATGTTTCGGCCACTTGGTTTTGTTAGGACTTCACAGAGTACCACGAGGGTGGTTACTGCTTCACTGGACAATGAAACACAACAAACATGATGAGTTTATAATCTGAGTTGGTCAAAGTGAAGGACAAAAGGAGAGGTGGGGTAATGAAGGGAGGATGTGAGCAAATCCTTTTAGGCCTCTAAATGATGTGATAAACCTCCTTTTTCCTGAAGTGATCAACCTGTGCTTTGGGTTGAGCTGCTTCAGGCTCACATGGGGCTTTCCCTTATGGCGGGGTCTGGGACATGTGCATCTGAAGGTTCCTCTTTTCCCAACCATGGATTATTAGGTCATTTCCCCTCTTTTATGCAGTTTCTCCTCATTTTGAAAGGCTGAAACGCCTCTGAAGGCTTTGTGTCTGGCAATTAGAGCTTTAAGCGGAATGTGCTGCTGTTTTTGGTATTTTGGCCCCACCAACCACTAGCATCTGGCCCCCCTGCATAGGGCTTGTCCAAATGGAAATGTAGCCATCAGATTTTAAAAGATTCTGCGCTCCTGCATTCCTTTTTACCACTGCTCAATTGTTTCTTGAGAGTGGGGGTGGTAGGAGGGGGGGTGGAAGATGGCAAGCGGCAGCGCACAAGCCTCTCCATGAACATTTCACTTCCCTGCAAAGTCAGGTTTTTGATGGGGGAACACAGAATGTGGTGCATGCATGCAAAAAACTGCTGTGGAGTGGCAGCTACCTCTGTTGGAAATGGAGAACTACTTTCTTTAGCTGACAACCATGCTGGAAAATATGTGGCTTCGAGGGCAGTATCAAATACCAGCATTTCCCCAAATAGCTGTTTGTGTTATGGTATAAGTTTTCTGAATCAATGTCAGGCACAGTCCTAATTGTGTGCAGAATGTGTGATGCTCAGTGCTTGGCATCTTCTCTTAAACAATGTGAGAGAGCATTAGGGCTGGGAAAGACTGGTGGATACCGGACAGGCACTGTTGCTGGCAGTACATGGCTGCAGCGGAGGGCTAAGATTACGCTCCTAGGAATGCCTGTTGGAAAAGGCTTGCTTTTGGCAGGTGTGAAAACCCAGAAGGGTTGCTGGGAGAATCCAGAGAGTGGGTGCAGCAATGGTAAAGACCCTGTTGCTAGTCGTGACGGATTGGACCTCTGAAATTCCTGTTGTCACTGGGAGGGTTTCTCCTGATGAGTGCAGCAGTCACGCAGGCTGATAGGGGATCGGGGATCTCCTTAAGTATCCCGGTCCTAAGTATTTCACAGCTTTGGAAACAAATATCAAACTCTTAAGCCTGGCTCAGTAGAATATAGACAGCCAGTGGGGTTCCCTCGGTTTTGGAGTGATGTGCTGGCAGTTACTGCTCCTTTTACTCATCTGTCTCATCCTGAGACATCTGTGTAGGACAGGATAGAACTCCCCATCAATCAATCAATCAATCTGGCTGCACTATTCTGCATTAACTACAATTTCTGGGCCAGCCTTAAAGTCAGCCCCACATCAGGTGCATTGCTGTAGTCTAGTGCTGGATTTACCAACATCTAGACCACGGGGGTCGGTCGATCCCTGTCCAGTAATGACTGTAACTCTGGCCTGTTCCAGCCAGTAAAAGGCACTTGTAGCCAGTGAGTTGACCTCTCTATTCAGCAGTCGTGCTGGATCAGTGAACACCCCCAGACAATGCACCTGCTCAGCCAAGGGGAGTGTAACGCCCTCAAGAGGAGTAACCTGACCCAGTGGGTGAGTAAAGAGCCCATGGAATTCCTGCCGATTCCATTACAAAGGAAAGAGCAAACGGCTCTTTGCAGCTCTTCTTCCTGTGAGTAATGCCGCAAGGCTCGCTGTCTGATTTTTGCCTCTGAATAGTCATTGCGTTTCCCTTTCTATTTTCCTCCCTGCAGGAACAACTTTCAGCAAGTGGGTTGGACGCTTCCCTGACTCATGAGTCTCTAGTGGATCTTTCTGAGGTGGGTGTTACGCCACGGGTACTGACGAGGTTCCAAAATGACACATGCTGGTTGGCATTTAACCTGGGTGGTTTGGGAGGAATTGACATTTACCCAGATGGCGCTCGGATGCGAGTTGGTGAGATGAGAGCCAAGAGCCCCCTTTCTAATTAGCATTTCAGAATGCAGACGGGCTCCAATTCTTACATATTCAAGACATTAATTATACCTGTGAAATTAAAGTAAATATTAAACATACCCCTGGAATTAACTGAAAACAGTATGAGGGAGATGGAGAAAGTGTGGAGACTTGACTTCAAGGAGCTGAGGGAGAAGACTCAATGCAATGTTTAACTGCAGTAATTCCAGTAATTAGTGGTAAGCTTTTACAATCCCACTGAAGAGCCACCATTAACAGATCCCCTCACCTCCGATGGCCCAGTGGCATGCTCAGGCATCTGGCTTCCCAGGACTGGGTGTGATAAAACAGCTTTTTTCTCTGACTCAGAATTGTTGTGGGCTATTGCTTCTCACGGATTGAGGCAAACGTTCACAGAAACCGTGAAAAGAAACAGAACAAAATATGCTGACTTGTATTGTGGAGGTGGGGAGAGAAAGCGATGATCAAGGCACAGCCAAGGCTGTCACTGCTGCATGAAACTTCAAAGAGGTTCACTCAGCCAAATGCAACAGACAATCTAATTTGATGCCTCACTCGTTAGCAGTCAGTCTTACCGAGTTCTGTGAGACTCACAGCCAGGTGTGAATGTATAGGATTGCCACCTAAAATGAATATGGACATTCTGCTTTCACAGGCAGGATGTTTCAGCACATTGCCTGCATTGCCAGTCCCTGGTGGGTTCTCCCTGTTCAGGGGTTCACCCAGCCTGAAGTCTTTCCAAGGCCTGGCAAAGTGGGGAATAACCCAGTGCTGGTGAGAAAAGAAGCCTTCCGTGTTGGTTCTCTCTCCTGCTGCTGAGCCCGCTGGGGTGAAGGAGCATGAGCCTGGGGTAGCTTCCAGTCCTGATCAGAGCATTGCATTGCTTATATTAGTGGTGGAGGGGGGGGGGGCGGGAACGACGACACACCATATGTAGGCATTTTGCTGCTATGGCTTTGAGTTCTGTCTTCAGAGCCAGTAAGATGGACTCTGATGGTTCCAGTCTTCCTCCCAAGGATTTAATCTAAAGTTGATTCAATGCAATGGGTCTTCCTTGTCCTTTCCTCCCTGCATCATCTTCCTGTGTGTACCCCAGGACTGCTCTGAGGAGTCCCCCAACATTTTGGAGCAGATTTGCGGGGTAAGCGCACAGGGTTCTGTGGGCAGGAAAGGAAACTGGTTCCACCAAGAGTTTTCCCTCTGCTTGTAGAACTGCATCACTCGGGCCCAACCAAAGTATGGAAAGGAGATGCATCGATAACATCTGTAATAAATGTTTTGCAGGTTGCTTTGGGTGTAATTTCTGGATTCAGAAGTGTTTAAGTGGATTTTCTTTTTTATTATTTAGAAAAAGCTGTGGTCTGTGTATGGATGACTTTGTTTTGTCCACAGAAATTGGCAGAATTAAAGAAGCAGGCTATACCTTTGAAGAAGAAACTGGAGTCGTATCTGGACCTTACACCTGTAATTCCCCTTCTCTGTTCTTCTGGGCCTTTTTTCTTTGTACAAGCATACTTCATTGATGGGTGGAAGGTAGAGCAACTGATTGATCCCTGTGTGATTCACTGGAGATTGGCAAGGATTCTGACTCCCAGTGATTTACTGTTAGCAGTAACAAAATGCCCCATCTCCACCCCTGGGTGGAAGGTGAACTGCATTAGATTCTGGTCTCAAACCCCATTCCTGGGACTCGGGTTCCTTTAATACCAAGTGTATGTCTTTTGCTGCAGGTTCTTGTGGGTGAATCCTGGGGTTCTAGTTTGAAAAGAAAAGAAAAGTAGATTCCACAAGCCTGCCTACTCTCAGTGAAGCTTGCCTTGGGCTCTGTGGTGTAGCAAGTAATGGTTTTTGGCTGCCTGAGCTGCACTTCTGAAACTTTTCTACTTAGATAGCACAATCGCAATACACCTGGGGAAGTCCTTGCCCCAGGGATTTGGCAACCTAACCTACAATATGAGGCAGAAGGAGGTAAACAGGGAAAGAATATTATTATTGTCATTGGTACTTATTAGATTTATATCCTGCCTATTTCTTACAAAGGACTCAGAGTGTCTTCCCTAATACTTCTCCTCCTGCTCTCAGTCTTATCCCCACAACAACAACCCTGTGAGGTAGATTGGGCTGAGTGTCTGTGACTGGCCCGAAGTCACCCAGGTGAGCGGCAGCTGGAATCCTGATCAGCTGTGGCCCAGGCCTGCGCTCTTAACCGCTACGCCACATAGGTTCTCATGCCTTACATATGCCTTGTATTTCAGTTATGAGTACCTGAACTTTGAAGAGGGGATGAGGACAAAGGGGTGTGCCAGAGGCTTCATGGAATGGGTTTTATTTATTTAATTAAATGCTGTCAAGCCAAAAAGTGCCCCTCTCACCCAGAGCAGGTGCAATGAATTGGTAAGACTGGTAACCGTCTGTGCCTGCAGGTTTATAGTCTAAAAATATATGATAACAGAAAGGGGACGGGGAAGGGAAAGTACCTCGAGGGTGGGTGTGAAGGGAGTGGAAGAAGAGGCTTCTTGAAGATGGTCAGTGCAGCTGTTTTAGGCACACAGGGTAAAGTTGTTCAGGGGAGAGAAAGGCCACATTTTCCCTCTGGCATCATTTTTTTCTCTTCCAAGGAGAGACTTTGGTTGGATTGTGTGCCCAACAAATGCACATTTTAGCTCTTTCAGGAAAAAAAAAGGGGTCATGGTGGCAACACCTTGCAGTGATCTTTGGTGTGATTACAAAAAGGCAGAAAGGAGGACAGGAAAATGCTGAGTCTGTATAAATAGGTGTGTATTGTTCTTTTCAGAGCCCTTCTCTTGCTCGAGTGAAGATCGAGGAAGCAAAAAGAGAACTGGTGGGTCTTTCTTTTCTTATGCATAAAATTTTCTCCATTGCCCTGATGAGTGGGCTGCCTGTCTGGACTGATTTTAAGTGCCATTTTCCTTAAATCGAGCAAGATGTCTTTAGTCCCCTAGTCAACATGAATGTGGTTTCTCTTTTGCAACCAATACCATTTGGTTGGGTTGCTTTTCAGCTGGTGTGGGAATATCTCAGGCACCCTGAAAAGTTGAGGAATACTCCATACAGTCCACTGCTGGCAAGAGCTGGAAAAAGAGATGGTGCCAGGGAACATGCTTAGCTGGGAAACTGAAGCCATTTGTGGGAAGTGGCCAGAGTTGATTTGCCTCCTTGTAGATGGTGTGGAAAGAGTAATGCTGGTTTCCCTCTGAGGTGTAGAACAGGGGAGGAGTTCTGAAGGATGGGGAAGGTAGGAGATCCAAGAGCCCAGGATGCAAGTCATCTTTATATGTTTAGTTTCTATACTGCTCAACAGCCGAAGCTCTCTGGGCACTTCACAACAGCATATTTAAAATTTATATTTAAAAAACAATATAAAGTACACCATTAAAATATTAAATATGCGTTTCTGATCACTAAGGATTGAATTGATAGGACTGCATCCTTAACCATTTCCCTGCATTATGGAAGAAGGTCATGTGGAAATACTGTGGTAGCGCATGATGTCATGACTCCATTGCAAATGACAGCCTGCAGGATGCAGTTTGATGCATGCTTAAAAACATCTATACACTCAAATGTAAGAAGCACCCTGTCTGAGCCTACATTTGGTGTAAGAGCAACCATTACTAGGTTTTTCCAAATTTTCCAAAACAAAAACAAAAAAAAATGCTTGAGAGGGCTTTATCCTCTTTACTTTTATTTTCTCCCTAATTTTTCTGGGTCTCTCCCCCTCCCCTCAGATTTCAAATCTCAGGTTTCTTCTAGGGCTTTGAAGAAACATGGAACAATATCTTTGTATGTAGGGCACTGTGGCAGATCTATATGGCTGCTTGCTCCCCAGAAGATATTAGAACAGGTTGTGTGTGAGTTTGAGCAAATGTAAATGGGGTCACACCCCCTCTTCCCAGTACACTTCAATTTCTAATGCATTTCAACCTTTTGGGGGTGTTAACCCATCCGTGCCATCTGAGGAGCCTTCCTCCGAACCAAGTACTGATTTTTGTCACAAATTTTCCTCATCCTCTTTTCAGGAAGCGCTTGAAGCCGAGTTTTCAGCAAAAGTGGACATGACCTCACGTTCAGTAACTTTGCCTACCAAACACCGGTTTATTTAATACGTCTGCTATAAAAAGGGAGGACAGTTGTAAGTCTGGGGGATGAAAAACTGGTATGTTTTGGTTACTTTCACAGTATATAACTCTGTCTTTTACTTTCATTTTTCGAACAAAAGCACTTGTTTTTTACAAGTATGTAGCTTCTTTATTATGTATATAATTCTGGTTCTGGTTTTATTTACTTGAGAATGTTCACTCTTTCTGAATAAATCTTTACAATAAGCATTTGTTGTAATATGATTTGATAACTGTCCTCAAAGTGGTGCTCTAATAGATAAAAGAGCGGAAATAACCTCAGGAGAAAGTTTCATTTTTAGCTAAAAACACCGTTAAAAAACATTCTGCTCGCCCATTATCCTGACATTTCATGTCCTCAATTATGTGAGATCGCCCTGTCGCTGTTGTGCAATATAGTGGCATCAAACGAGGGCACATTTGGAAAGCAGCGTGGCATGGAAGATGCACAACTAAATTTTAATTTTTTCCTGGGTTATGCAGGTGCTATTGCACAGCTACTAATACACTGCAGTCTTATGAATTTCTACTCCGTTCAGGTATATCTGAGCCAAAATATTTGCATTATAATGATACTGAGAGACATTGTAGAATGGTGGTTAATAATGCTGAACTGGGACTCAGGTGGTCTGGGTTTGAGTCCCTACTCAGCCATGGAGCTCACTGGGCAGCTTTGGGCCAGACACAGCCTCTCAGGCCTACCCTACCTCACAAGGTTGTTGTGAGATAAGATTATGAGAGGAGCATTCTATAAGCTGCCTTGAGTTCCTTGGAAGGAAAAAGGTGGTATATAAATATAAGAAACAGAGGAGGGAATACTTGACATCTTAGATGAACAGTCATGCAATCTATATGCATGTCAATTAACTATCCAAAATTAAACATACTTAAGTAGGGCCAAGTCAACCAATACGCAGTTGCTGATGGCTGATGTCCTGCCCAGGCTGGCTGTAATAACTGGATTCGAGCCCAAGCCAGCCTATCCAATAAAGCCAACATGGCTGGCTGCACTAGCCAAGGCACAATCTTTAGTGTGTTTGGGGGAAGAGGTCTTGGATCCAGAATTTCCAGCAGCCACTCTCAAGCACCTTAGCTCTTGTTGCCCCAACCTTGGATTGTCGCAAAGCTTTGGGTATGGGGTGGTCTAGAAAGAAATAGTGAAACAGGTATAATAATTTCATTATTTGCCTAGCCACCATCCCTTGGGTGCACACCTTAACGAGGAGAGGTGGTTTGAGAGGATCAGGGGAACCAGGACTGCATCCCAAGACTTTGAATGTATTGATTTTTGGCAGAGTGCTACTCTGTCCAAAACAGATGGCGTGCTATCTCATTGGAGAGAGGTGCACCTGCCTTTATATTATAAAATGTGACAGCTTACATGATATCCTATGTCAGGACAGTGTTTCACTTTATTGGCCAAGGCTAGGACTTCCATTGCCTCATCTGATCCACAAGACGGAGCGAGAGGGATGTTTAGTTTATGTATCCTTTCTATTTGTATCCCACCCTTTTCCTTCAAGGCAGCTTCCATAACCCTCCTCCTCCTCCTCTCCATCTTATCCTCACAACAACCATATGAGGTGGGTGAGGCTGAGGATGCATCACCCAGTGAACTTTGTGCCTGGTTGGGGACTAGAACCCGGATCTCCTGGATCCCAGTTCAGCACTCTAACCGCTCCTGAGGCTCTCTAGTTACCAGCCTCACCCCAGATTACTTCTCCCAGGCGATTTCATGTTTAAGCTAAAAAGGATGAGGAACAAGAGAGAAGTCTTGGGAATCCGAGTGCATTGGTGCTGTGAGGCCAAGCAGTCATCTTGTCCGCCACTTTTGGGGTGGTCCTCTAGGCAGGACCAGAAACACCATGTTGCCCCTTCGGCTCGTAACCCCGAAAGCCTTTCCAGAAGGGTACCCTGCAAAGCTGCTTTCAACAGCTGCTGAGGGGTCCAAGAGGGTGACAATGTTGCACTCCCCTGCCTCTCTTCTGGCCTAGTGCAACAAGGCGAGCCAGCACAATCCATTTAGGCCACTCAGGAGGCTGCAGATGCTGAAAGGCCTCAATGGTCAAGTTTCTAGTCCTCAGGTTTATCAGTTTCTGCCCAACTGCTTCCCTCAGAACTGAAATGGTACCACAAGGCCTATCTTTCAGTCTGCCTAAGGGCCTCATTTACTCAAAACTGCTGCTGTTGTGCTGTCAAGCTGTCTTTGATTTATGGCAACCCAATCAATGAATGCCCTTCAAAATGTCGTGTCCTTGACTGCCCTGCTCATCACTGAGGTCTCATTTGATCATGGCTAGTTGGGGCACACCGGGAACTATAGGCCTTCTCTCTGTCAAGACTTGTATAGGACTGTCCCCTTAGCGTGGTTAAAATACTCGATTTTTTTCTTCCTATGGGGGAAAATGCAATTAAGGGCGCAATTCTATGCAAGCCGGGCCGGGAAAAGTTTGCAGAGAAACACCGCCCAAGCTCGCACAGGATGGCGCCTTTGTTATTAGCATGTCTTGCATGTCCTGTGCCGACGACTTTTCACGTGAGCGGCACTCCGACGTTCCACGCCCGCGTGCGGCAGGCAGGGAGGGAGGGGCACCTCCCCGGCGGTTAAAACCGTTGCGAAAGAGCCGCGCGCGGGCGGGCGGCGGCTCGCGGCGCCTTCGGCTTCCCGCGCAATTGCGTCTCCTCCCCCGCCCGCGCCAGCCCCTCGCGCCTGCCGCAGGGGCCGCTAGGGGGCGCGGCGAGGGCGCGCGTCTCCACGCCGGCCGCTCCTTTCCGGCGGCTTCCTCCCTCCTCGCTTGCCGCCGACTCGTTCCGTCGTCGCCAGCCAGCAGCGCCGCGGCTGCCGCCGGAAGTGACGCCAGAGGGAGCTGGAGCTGAGGCGAGCCGAGCGGCCTCCCCTCCCTGCGGTGACATTTCCCCTCCCCGGCTCCCTTTTTCCCTCCCCGCTGTCGCGCCGAGGAAGAAGAGGCGGCGGCGGCGGCCGAAGTGGCAGCGGCGGCAGGGGGAGGAGACCCGGCCCCTCATGCTCGAGCTGGCCCTTTTCGCGGGGCCTGAGGCCGGGAGGAGCCGCGGCGGCGGCGGCGGCGGCCCTGGTGAGTGACCCTTTTTTAATGGGTGGCGTGAAACCTCCTGGGAAACTAGGCCGAAGAGTTGGGACCCCTCACTGGGAGGAGAGGAGGGGGGAGCTTTCCTCTTCGTTTTGTTGTCTCCCCCCATTTTGTGATTAAGGAGTGGGCTGGGAGGGAAGGCTCCTCATTTGGAGGAGAGGAGCGTGTCTTGCCCTACGTTGGACTAGGAGGGGGGAGAATTTGCTCTCGTTTCGTGGTCTCTGCACTATTTTAGGATTAAAAAGCGGGGCTGGTAGAGAAGGCCCGTTCATAGGAAAAAGAGTGGGAGCAAGCTTGCCCTGGTTTGGAGGAGGGGTTGCAAGGAAGATGCCGCCTTCGTTTTGCTGTCCTCCTTCGTTTTGGGATTAAGAGGAGGGCTGGTGGAGAGGGGCCCCTCATTGGAAGGAGAGTAAGGAGTAAATTCGAATCTCAGTTCCTGGATGGGGTGGGGGGAGTTTTGTCTTCGTTTTATTGTCTAACCTTTTACCATCCTGAGGTAAAGGATGGTGAAGAGGAACCGTCCTGCCTTCCTTATCTGTATCTTCTTCCTTATGGTGCATGAGTTAGGGTGGTGTAAGGCTTCGCCCTGCACAAAGCTGTCCAGGAGTTGTAGGAGATCAGGTCTCAAGGGAGCGTCCTGCATAATCCTGCCGTTGTGTAGAGAAACTGAAAGGCTTCCACTTGGGCTCTTTTTTATGGATGCACCTGATACGGAATAATGTAACGTGGTTCTGCTGCTTCTGTCCTATCTGTCTGCTCTGTTGCCCCGTGTTTATATAATACCTTAGACCATGTGAAGATAATGGAGAGGTCTTGTTTCTCTCCTCTTCACCATCTGCCCTCTCTTATTATATTTTAACTTTGATCTAAAGGTGAAAGGGTAGGTGACTGCCCTCTTGCTTCCATTTTTTTGGGGGTGATGGCTTTCTCTTCCATGTCAGGTCTCTCAGTACTTGTAGCTATATATTGAAGGAGGCATATTTTACCCTCTGCAAGATTCTAAACAGACTGTCTCATGAGTGCCATTGGCTTGGCATATATGTATACTTCAGGTTATCCTTGAGTTGTTGGTGAAAAGAGAAAGTTCACGATAGTAGCTGTTAGAGATCAAGACGAGTTAAGGTGAGAAGCCATGAAACTTCCTTTATGGAAAAATATATAATCTTTCATTCAGGGGGGAAGAAGCAGAGATGCCTCTTTTTTTCAATATGTTAGAATGAACATTTTGCTAAAAAACCAACTGCCATAGCTGTAGTAGTGTTGTGGTCTCCAGTGTGGTGTCCACCAGGATCCTAGCCTCTCCTTAGAATTACTTTATTTCTTCCGATTGTAAAAAAGAAATTAAATTATGAGGTTGGTATGCTGCAAAGCAAAGTGCTGCCCTCCAGTGCCATCATTATTCGCATTCAAAGGAGTGTTTTTAACCATCTCTAACATGTGCCTAGGTACTTGGGCAAGTTCTCTCTTGGAAATCAATGTTTCATGACTGGCTGTGATAGCCATAGTACTATTATGGCCATTTTAGGTACATACAAACCTCCATGGCAACATTCTGTGAGAGTATCTGCCAGTCCCAAAAGGTTGGCTATCTCTGACACGGTACAAAGGTAGGGTTTTCTTGGACCTTTTCTACGGGTCTTCTGTGGGTTGGATGACAAAGCAAAACAAAATGCTAGTGAAGATTTAAGCTACAGGAAGATATAACATCTTATTTCTATTTTCTAAGGGAAGTTCAAGTACACACACACTTGTTAATCCACCTGCTTGAAATGAAAATTACTGCAGATTGATTATTTCCCTTATGGCATGATGTGATATATACTGATCTTTTCCTCCTAAAAGACTACAAATTTGTTAGGTATTCACATTTTTACTTCCACCCATCCCCTTTATGCTCTAAATATTTTATTTTTCAGTGTTAGGGAAGATAGAAAAAAACAGAGGTGAAACTGAAAGCAGCTGTCTGGCTTCAAGTAAATACCTCCTTTCAGTCAATTTAATGACAGTGATGATAAATATAGCTGCTTTGAATTCCTTGACCTGGCACATAGCTGCTAAACCTACAAATTAAACTTCACAAAAGCTATCTCATAGTCCTGTGGGATGCTGAGTAAGAATAGTGATTGCTGTAGGTCATTTAATCAAGCGTATTCAGAATGTTGGAGGACGTCCTTTTTGGATGCTCGGAGCAAAATATGAAGTTACTGCTGAGATCATAATTCAGTATCTCTCATAGCAAAGGACTTCTCTCAATGGTCAGAGGGCCAGTATAAGCTTGGAATATAACCAGATTCATAGAAGAGCATGCTATTTTGGAGGTGATGACATGGTTCCAGATGCCTATGCACATTCTTTACTTTTGCTTTGATAGCTTTGACCTAACAAATTAGCAAGATTAGATATCTAATTCTACTTATGGAAATTTTATATTAGTCATGACCACAACTGAAAGTTGTAGCAGCATTCTAACATTTTTTTACTACCCATTTATGAAGAGAAGCACAATCAATGATTGTGAAATTGGTGAAATGATACCCATTATTTTATTACTCAATTTATAATAGCTTATTAATTCATATGCACCTTCACAGTATTTTTTAGACTGTATGGTTTAGTTTAAATGTTTTGGTGGAGAGTTCATATTAATAAAGATTTTACAGTAATAAATGTTAAGTGGTTGTTTAAACAACTAGTGTAGCCTTTAACATTTTTAATGCAAGTGGAATCCTGCTTATATCTGGTGTAATTTTTTGTGAGGGGTGTCTCTGGCTATTAGCCTATATATTATTTGAATGAGTGGGTTTCTCTAGTGATGATCTAGCATAGTTATCAAAGGAGGAGGTACTGTTCACCTTGGAGTGGACCTGTGGAAATCTCAGCTTTTATTTGGTTTCTCTACATTTCCAATCTTTGGAGTACTAGGGCAGAACCTCAACAATATGGCCACAACCATGCATGAGTGGAAGAAGCTTCTCTGCATGGAGCAGTGTTTCTGTGCACTGACTTTCCCTTTCTGCAAAATTCCTTGCACTGCATCAGTTACTGCTGTAGAAGATGCTTCTGCCTTCAGGAGCAGTGGGAAACAAAGTAAGAGAAATCCCCTGTGGGTGAGTGGCACACTCTGTGCAGCTCTTTGGGTGCTGACCTGTGACTGCACAATGTTGAAATGGTTTAGGATTCCAAAGGTAAATGACTTTGGTTTATATATAACCTCTCTTTTTCTCGGGTTGAGAGTTCCTGAATTGTTAATCTCCCTGTGTGGCAGGGACATAACAGCTAGTGCCATATCTTGCTATCTCTACTGTTACCCAGTGCTTAAGTGGTGTTGGTTTATTTATTGAAAACATTGCTGAGGATTTTTGCTGTGGATTTTTGAGACTGAACCTAGGTAGATGCAAACAGCAGATTCACATGCTGTGAATACTGAGGAGAAATTGGGAGCATTGCTATCTGTATAAGATTACAATTTATCAATAGTTCTGTTCAAAAAGATGTTGCAACACTGAAAAATTTTGCTTGTGCTGTCATCTGGAGTCATATTTTCTGTTGATACTGTCTCTGTAAGTTACATAATGACTTTTTAGTTTGTAGTGTGATGGCAATATCATGTTTTCTGATTGTAGGATTCTTTTTTTTTTTTTTTTTTTTGTAATGCTTTAGTTTGTTAGCCTTTATGTCTCAGCAGAGAGGAGTTTTAAGCTGATCCATTCAGGAATGACCAAGCAAGAAACATGAGCGCTGGTGTTGCCATAGGTAGAGTTCCGTTGATGTTGGTTGACTGTCTATAAGCACGCCCAGAAATGGAAATACAGGAGTCTTATCAGATGGCAAACATAGATACTGATCTAAATTTGTAGCTGTCCTTGAAATTTATTAAAATACTCCCTAAGATGGATGTCTAGTTATTACTATTAAAAAAGTGCTATACAGTTTTGAGAGTACTTGGACAATGTTGTCAGTTTATAGCTAATTCAGTGGGAAAACATTAAAGAGAAAATAAAGTGTCATTGCTTTGTTAGAGAATATATGCTTAGTAAAGGATACTACTTAGATGGTTTCTCTCTCTAAATTATTTAAACTTCTGCCTCTTCAGGTTCTAATTCTGGGATGGCTCATCCAACACTTGGCTGTTCAGATAAGTACAGAGCAGCAGAACAGATAAACATTTAACCATCATAGAGAAGGCCAGTGGATTCAAGTTCTGAGAGCTGGCATTTGGTAAACTGCAGTTCTGCTCCAGTCCCCTCTCTGCCTTGTGGTGTGTGTTGCATTTGTTGGGCATGTTAAATGTTCAGAGGCAACTTCCTTACAATGACTTATCTTACTGGGCAAAATTGCAAAGAGAAAAATTAATGCTGGATGGGGAGAATCTGGCAACTGCATCCCTTAGTTGCCATTCTTCAGAGCTGCAAATGGTGAGAGAGTGCATGGAGCAGAAAGATTACACGATACAGGGTCTCAGAGCACCTATTTTGATCACTGTAACTGGTTTACTTGTGTGGCTGTATTCTCTCAGACATGTTGTTTATCTACATGGTTAGTGACCTGAGGGAGTTGTGTACTGATATGAGAAACTGATCCAGGGTAGATTTTTATTACTTGGAGACTTGAAGTGTAATTTTATCAGCTCTGCTTAATGGAGTTAGTTTCCCAGTAGTATGCGTGCTCACACTTTATTTTATTTTATCTTTTATGTGGGAAGAGAACTGTCAGGCAGGATCATAAAGAAAGAAAAGCTGGATAATCGGGCTCCAGATCTTTCTGTTGTGCAGTTATATTATCTAGCTGTGTTAATCTGAAGTCTCAACTACTCTGTAAAATTTATGAAGGCCAAAGCTGATACCTGTCACAGGTGTAATGGTGGACTATGTCGGCTGTTTTTCTGGGGATACCAGGATTCCATTGTACTTGGAAGTACACAGATATAAACAGCAGGTGAGTTTTATTTTAGAAGACAGGTGGGTGTAATCGGTGTGAGCAGCAGC